TCTAAATCTTTACCCAAAAGGCAAACTAAATCTTAGTAAATAAAAATAGAAACGATCTATACGATACTGATACATTATTTTCGTATATAAGTATAATTTCGACTCATATAATTGATAAATCACAGTTAATGAACACATGAAACGGGTCAAATTTGCAAAAAAGTGGAACCATTCGCACAATAACGAAGTATTGAATTAACGCTTACATTTTAGCTTCATCAGTATCATCCTTTTTTATTTGCGTACAAACAGATTCATGCTTCTTTGCTTCCAGATCTGCGTGCGCCGCCGCCTCCTCTATAGCGACAAAGTCGACTTTAACTTTAGCAGCCCCTATACCACCCCGTTTTCCAACGCACTAGAAGTGTTGTTGAAAAGCAAGTAAAACGAGAAAAATGGATGGACTAAGTTACATAAGAGGCGACTTACTGAAGATGGTCTTACCTTTTTGGCGAATGACTTTTTCTGCACAGAAAAGTCAGATGTACAGACTTTTTGAATGCCTTCATCCGAGCAAGGAAGCGCCTCAGCTATTCATAAAACAGGTTATTCCAAAAACAATAAATACCTAGATTGGTCAAGTCGTCGCTTTGTGGATCGCTAAGAGTCATCCCAGAAATATTTTCTGTGTTTTTATCAGTGTTTAATTCAAAAAAATCTTGCTCTTCTTTTGCCTTCTCTTCGTGGGCTTGAGGAAAAATCTTAAGTAGAAAATAGGCAGGATTAAGTACCTTAGTTCCACACGTCTTCATAGCTTCGACTGCCATCTTTTCCAATTGAACTTTATACAATTTTGCAGCCATACTCTGATATTTATGTTGCGCATCAGTTATCTGACAGCCATGTTGGCTAAAGAATAAGCGCTTGACAGGCATAATGCAAAAATCTTAAAATTACTGCGTTGTTATTCCCCCCTACTTGCATCGCACGAAGTTGAATCCATGTCCATTTTGCATCGAATTGAGTTGATCTAACGAAGCTTAGATGGACTCCTAAAGACCTATGTATAGCAGAGCAATCTATGCACAGGAATACGCCATAGGTAAGGCTGACCCATGTAGGGTTACTTGACCCACAATCAAAGCAAGCCTGTCAAATTAATAAGTATATATACTTGATACCTTATTTTGATCTAAAGATTTTAATTTGGTGAGAATCGAAGTGACATCTCCTTTGGAAGGACGGTCAGAAGACATAAGGAGGAACAAGAGCAAACGTGTTAGGTCGTTAAACAAGCCGGCGCTTTGACATTATCATTGATATGATGATAAATAAATGTATACAATAGTGTATACATTAAGTGTGCCATCAAATTAAAATAAATAAAAAAGTATAGGAAATTAGTGA